GTTTCTTATAATGTTTTCCTCATCTCCCAAATCCTTGTTATCGAGCAGCTGGGTGCCTGACTCAACTGGCTCACAGTATATAGAGTGCTGAACAAGGCGGTAATCCTGCCACCAAGGCCAAAGGCTTCTGCTTAAAGTGGTAGGTGCAATAGTGGCAGGCTATTGATGGCTGGCAAAGGCTTCGATCTAAGCTATGCATCCCGATTTGCATTTGTATCAATTTGTGTCTAGCAAAACTCCGGCACATTTTCCAGTATACAAGTATATAAGTAGAATCAGTTGAGATCCCTTTAGATCCCTTTATATATGTAGAATTTTTGCTGGTCCTGAGTCCTGACTAAGATAGAATCAGTTGAGAAACGGAACAATCAGTTCCGCAAGAATGACTGAGACTTTCCTCTACTGCCCTTCGGGCTCCCACACCTCATCCGTTGACCCAGCTGGGCGACAGTCCACCACAACGCTGTGATCCTGAGAAGTGAGTCGATGATAGTCGATGACTTCCGTGGGATGTCGCTTGGCTTGCCAAACGCACTTAGCCTGAAGTGAGTCTGACAGTCACGACTGCTGTATCGCAACGGACCTCCGCGTATCTTTTCTGACTTAGCACAGGTATCGGAACGAATCGACATGAGGGACAGGCATCTAAAAAAGTAGTGGACACGACAACGAACTCCTTCGCACCGACAAACTAGTACACGGCACATTGCTTACATTTGTGTGTCAGCCTACACCTCCCTCTTCTCGTGCGGCTTGTAGCAGCAAATCAGCATCTGTGCAAGAGCCTAGTTGAAGATAGCTGATAGCCAACAACAAGTTACTCACTGGCTATTTGGCGCCGACAGCATTCCCTTCACACAGCCGCCGACCTTGTCCGAGTCATTCTTGTTCTGCTTGGCGAACATCGCACACTTCAATAAAATGCAGGGCCTCCAGTCAAGCTCCCAGCAACATGGACAAATCCCAACGAACACTGATGGGATCCGAACTGTTTTTTCTTGCTGTCTTGCTGCAGGTGCTGTTGTCTGTATCTGCTCCTTTGACATTCCTGTGCGACTTCCCTCAATCAAAACTGTGCCGAAAGGTTTGAACACCCCTAGATCAAACACATGTCGTATGTCCCGGGAGCTAGCTTACTCACAAAAGGTCCTCTTGGCACATGAGGCAAGAAAGCTTTCCTGTTGCGCTTCATTGAACTTTAGGAATAACAGTGGAGTTCTTTCCCCATGAAACTATATAACAGGCCCTGCATTAAACTCCGAAGTATCCACTGAGCAAGTTGCGTGTGGAGGAAGCGACCAAAACGCCCATCAGGGACTGGGACCTGAGATGCATCACAGATGCGACAGGCTGATGCTTTCGTTGAGCAAACAGCTACAAGTCTCTGCAATCTTGTGATTTTTACTCGATGGTGAGGATGGATCCATGTTTGTGGTGCGACTTGGAGAGCTTGCACACACTGCACTTGAAGGGAAGGCTTTCGGAGAAAAACACCTATCAAAGTTGAAGAAGCAACGCACATCCTCGGGGCTTGTTCGCCACAAAAGCTGCCAGCAAAGTCATCGAGGGACTCTCACGCTGCAGAAAATGCGGGGTTACTACCCATGCGGATCTTTAGAGACTTGCAGAGCCATCTCCATTTGCAGCCTGAGCCCACAGCCAGTTCAGGAACCAGCATCGGTGGAGGACGCAAAGGTGTCAGGAGGGGCGAGCTATGGAAGGGCTCCTCAGTGAATGTGTCCAAGAAACAGTACAGTACAAACGTGACATATGCATGAAAGAAGTCCATCAGCTGCTTGAATGGCAATGGGCAAGTTGAAATTATGGACAAACCCCATTATAATTAACCATAAGCTACTAGGAACAAGTGCATCGCTTCTAGTAACAAGTGCCTTACTAGTAGTAACAACAAGCTAGTAGAAACAAAGTAAACAGTAAATGAAATTATCATTGAACACATCCTTTCCTGAGGTCTTGGCACTCCAACGCATGGGGTGTGAAGGATCCAGCCTCCCATAGCCGTGTGGGCATTCTACTTTGAAAACCACGCTCTGCCAACTGCTGCCAACTGAGATCAACTTGATTGCCTTCCACCGGGCTCCCCTGCTTGAGGCGTTGCCAATCAGGCTCCGGTAAGTTTTCCACTGCGCAACGCACGCAAACAGAGATGCGGTGCATGCAATGAGGTTTCAACCTGCCACGAATCGACAGCGTAGTAAGGACCGTTGGGCACAAAGCGAATGTGTACTTGGATGCGTTGCCTCCTCAAAATGACTGAAGCCCGAGTTTGTTGACATGCTTCAAGTGCCCTTGTCTTCCTTCCCTCGCTGTGTTGGGCTCCAAGCCCACTCACATGTAGTTCGAAGCCTTGCACAGTAGGAGGCCTCAGTTGCTGCTGGCTGGTGTTTTTAGCTATGGCTCTGGAAGAGCTTCCTAGTGCACATTGTGTTCGAGGGAAGGTATTTGCCTGCCCCTGCAATGATTTCAGCTATTAAGTTTGCATTATATACAGTATATATATATATATATGTATACAACCAACAAACACCATGATACCAATAGGATTCAACACATCGTTTGCCCACCGGAGAACATGAACAACCTTCCTGTCTTCCTGGAGGATCCTCCTCCGGGTGATGGCCGAACGATGCCGAACGTAACAATGGCTGATCTACATCTTCACTGAAGCCCCCACGAAAAAACAACCTGTATGAACATCTATGAAGGATGACTCCCCATTGGACAATAGAACTGACACTGGATCTGAGTGTGCAAGCCCACCATCGCCCTCCGCACTCACAGTCCTCAGGTGACGAGAGATGAGTATGTCTTGCGAACAGTGTGGAGCCACAGAAAACCTGTTACTGTAATTCAAAGCAATGTAACATGACCCTTTGGGCCCAAATATTCTGATCCGAACAACCTGAAGCCTGGTTCACTTCACTCGGAAGACGTCTTTTCAACGCCGATATGTTGTTATGGACAGCGTTTTACTCTATTTTCGACCAGCCGCGGCAGTTCAAACATTCAAGGACCCCGGCCGCATCTCTCGATGACGGAACTTCCCAAGCAATCTCTTCCTCTGCGGATAAAGTGATGGCAAACAGTCTTCGGTCATAGAGCAGGCATTCCAGGGATGATGGTCTGCCTTCCCTTCTTCATTTATGCATATAGGGTGTGTATATATATATATATATGTACACTGTATATATATATATGCTTTTGTACGCCTTATCACATCCTATTATGTATAATCATACGATATCATATGAACTTGTTGTCCCTTCCTCTTTCTCTGAAGTGCAAGTCACTCGCGCTCCTTTTGTTTCGCGGATCAATGAAGATCCCGGCACGAAATGGCCGAAGACGGTGTCCCTTTCAAACGTAGGATCCGATTTCTTTCGGAGTTTTTCGGGTCCATCAGCTTTGAAGCAGGACGATCCGAGGGGATTCTGGTGTCCACTGGTGTCCCAAGTATAGTACCCCAAAAGCAGAACGCCTGCCTGCCATGATCTGCCATGGGCCATAGGCACTATATGACTACTCTTTGTTCTCCACGAAACAAGTGAAAAAACCATCCACCGAACCCTGGACAACAACACGAACAACTGCAGCAATCAATAAATTACAAAAGTAGAGAAGTGGTAACAATGATTCTATATCATTCCCATTCCATCTGGGATCCCCGGCTGACTGTCCTCCGAGAAAAGACTCTCGAAGTCAAAAGCTGGAACAGCTTCCCCCTCCTGAAGTACACAGAGCTTGGGCAAACTTTTGCGCAGTCCCTTTGAAAGGTCTTCTGTACATCTTGGGATAATATACCCCTGGGGTCTGTGCTTTCAACTCATTCCGAAGCGTGCGGCGCTTTCTGGGCACCGAGAACCTTTCCTCCGACGTTGGAGCTTCGGCCCTTGACGCGTCCTTGCCCACATGTGGAAGCAAGCGACCACAAGAACCATCGGACAAATGGACCTTGGCCGAGCGCCATGACTGCGAAAGAAGAATGGTGGATGGCAGGTGCCTGAGGGGACCTGCTAATCATAGCAGGGATGACAGCTGTGTGGAGGTTGTACATGGGTTGTACAGGTGTCGCTGTCAAGAATCGATGAAAGCAACCGCGGATTGGAGTCAGAATTGAGGCTTCATGGCCAGGTTCCCTGGTGTTTAAACTTATTCCAAGTGCCCTTCACAATCGCAGGGATTTGACGGCAAAAGCCACAGAAAACTTTGACTGACATCATGTGGCTTCGTAGTATTTTGGGATATTTTGGGTATGTGCTGTGCGTTCTTCTCCCAGTCTGAGTGCTCGTGCTCCCCAGTTATGCAAGCGTTCCACGTCGAAGCTTCCTTCATCCTGAGAAGCCAAGGATGTAATTCTCAGGCTGGGTGTGTCGTTGAACATGTGCTTTGCTTCAGCGCAACTATATATATATATAATAATACGTCTTGCTCCTGAATCAATTCCCGCCCACTGTTCTCATCGATGGACATGAACCTCGGCATGCTTGTGTTGGAATGCCGTGCAACCTGCTTTTTTTAAATCTTTAGCAACAGCTGCTAGTGGACCTTTGATGCACTAGCAGCCGTTCCCGTCGATGGAAGGTTCATGAAGTTTCTCCAAGCTTTGAAAGCAAACATAGCCATTGAGTCTTCATTGAGTACCATCAAACCTTTGCTGCCAATTTTACATCCACATTCCAATTTTGTATTCACCAACATGCAAGCAAGAGGCACAAGGTATTCTATGCTCTGCATCAAATGCTCATTCTCAATCAGTGTCTCGCAACCGCTCCAAACCTGAGTCACAAGTATAGAGCAGTCATGCAGAGTCAACATACAGCCGCTCTGGACAAAGCTGATAGCAAAACATAGCAAAACAGTGTTCTGGAGGGCTCAGTTCTGCAGCATGGTCAGCTACGATCACTGATCACTGATTAACAAATCTGCTTCATGCAAAGCCATACCAGTTGCAATTCGACAGCTAAGCTGGCAGGCACGCCTTTGTCTTTTCAATCCTTACACCTCCGGTTGCCGCATCTCTAAAGCTTTGAGAAATGTGCAAAAGAAAAGGGGAAGGGCTAGGTTATCAACGGTGTTGGTGTAAACCTCGAGCAATGCCGCCAGTGCAGTGGTTAAGAAAAAGGGCCAATGCATCCCCTCTAGCGGCAAAAAAATCCACGTAGCGCATGCAATACTAAGTAGGAAGGCAGCAGTACCTACCAAGGTTCGGTGGGATCCAGGCCACTTGATTCCTCCGAACCGGATGCCAAAAAGAGCTGCACAAGAGTCGCCAAGACCAATCAGTAAAAGGCCTGACCACCTCCGAAGTTCCACAGCAATGTTCGAAGCTGCAGATAACTCAAGCCACACAGGCAAAGAGCATCCAAGAAGCAAATACAAAGGAGTAAGAACTAAATCCTGAGAGATATCCTCCCGCTTGTCCAAATATTTGGACAGAAACTTATTCTGTTGCTCGTAAAGAGGAGCTTTGCAAATTCGACATACCTCCAAAGCGATGAATAATAAAGTGGCCACCAGCTGGGAAAGAGCCAAAAAATCTGCTTGCCCTGACATCAACAGTGGAGCAAAGAGACAAATAGCGAGCACGTGGAAGGACTTCCGCACGATGTGCTTCTTCATCAAAGATTCAACTTGAAGTCTCCTTGAGAGCATCTCGATACTTGCCACACCGGCAATTAAAAGCAAGGGCCACTGGAAGAGCAAACACCACAGATTCTCCATCTGGGACAAATACCTCAGCTTGAGATTTCGTGCCGTTCCCCCCAAAGCAGAAACACACCAGCGAGGCCTTAAACTGAACACCTGGCTTTGAACACCCCTGTTCACCCAAACTACTGTGTATATATATATATATGCTCACTCCCCATCTACCTTTTTCTGCTTTTCATCTACCTTTTCCTGCTTTTCAGCTCTTCTACATATTACTTGTTCCTCTCTTTTAGGTCTGCTATGGACATCCATATATATATATATATGGGTGTGTATGTTTTGAACAGGCAGTACAAGGGTATGATTCAAGGTATGATTCGCCATGGAGGTACGATTTGGGGGTGTGATTCACTAAAGCAGAACCACCATGACACCAGGATAAATAATAACACATAAGTAGATGCTCGGCTTTTTGCGGTGGCTTAACAGCTGGACATGTGAGGTATAAACATGGGAAACCCTGACTGCCAAACCCCATGTGCAAGACCAAAGCAATAGCTAAACCAGAGTCAAGTCACCCAAGAAACCACCAAATAGCTCCATCGCTAAGCTGCTCACTTAATCCCCAAAGGAGAAATAAAAGGGCTGTGGCGGCCGCTGCAAGCAAAGGTGCGAAACCGTGTGCAGCAAGCGCGTCGAAGCACGCCTTGCTTCAACCAGTGGCTTTACCAAGGACTTGCACAATTCATAGCATCCTTGCTCCTAGTAGCTTCTTGCTCTTAGTAGTGAGGCCAGGAGCCCCTAGTAGCATCCTTGCTCCTAGTAGCGATGCCAGGAGCCCCTAGTAGCGTCCTTGCTCCTATTCTGACCACATGTTCACATCACTTGAAGTAGTCAAGCATCCCTAGGCCTGCAGAACAAATGCTTGGGCTTTCTGGGTTGTGACCAGAAACGTACCTCCATGGAACAATCATAGTGCCAATGAGAGCCTGGACATGACTAAGCTATATAACCATTCTCTTGGGCTTTACCTCAAAACTCAAGGAATGGATTGGGCCACAGCAAACTCAGCAAGTCGGATGATTTGTCACCCCCACCGCCGTGCATCGTCTGAAACAAGGCTCCGTAAAGAGCATGAAAATCAAGCCACACGTCGCCAGCACCGTCCAGAATGCGCAAGTTGGACGCCATGAATCATAGCCGTCTCGAAAACCCTGTGTTGTCAAAGCAGCAAGGAATGCACTAGACTGAGACCAAAACATGACTTCCGCAAAGCTGAAGCAGTGAGCGTAGCTTCTGAAGCTCCTGCATCTTTGACAGGACCTCCAAAGTTGGGTTGGATCTTTGAAATCAGTCTTTAGCTATCAAGCAAACGCCAAAATCAAAGAAACCTCTCTCATAACTGTAAAAGCAACAGCAATGCTTATGACAAAACTTCTATGGGTTCATATCATGTGGAACCCTTTGCAATTCACCGTCTCTACCTTTACCTGTTGATCCACAAGACCCTTTTTGGATAGCAAGACCAGGCGAACCTGTTGATCCTCAAAGGTTTCATCCACCGAACATGCCAAGGCACTGCTGTACGACAAGGAACACGATTGATGGCCACAGGGAAAGGCCTGCTGCCCATGCCAGTGCAGTTGATGCGATGAGGAACACCGTGCTGTGCACAAGTAGATTTCCGAGTGCTTGCGCTGATGCCAACCTGATTTGTGTGTCTTCACTGCATCGCTTTCAACGGTCAACAAAACGGTCAAAAACAACAGTTTAACACACACTACTTTTTGAGGTCGTAGGGTCGGCTAACAAGTAGCTAGTGCTTATATAAGTAGCTTTATCTTGAAGAAGCCAAAGAGTGATTTGGCTTCTAGAATTCTTGCGAACCTTATATATAACTAGAAAACCCACACATGTGGAGCTTTCTTTCAGCAAGCAACACCCACAGAATGGAATGAGCAGCATCTCCGGCATGTAGCATTGCATTCTTTCGGTATGCAGATGTGAGCAATGGACCCAGTAGCACTGCAAAGACCACCTTGCAAGTATCCAAGAAACAAACGGCTCAACTTTGCACACAATCCAAAATGACTGTAACATGACATAGGCTGATATAATTAATACACATATATAATTAATACAAATAAGCTGTGTGAAGCTACGTATTCAACACTGGAGCCCCCAACGTTGCTACCACGAAGCTACTGTGCTTGAGAAGTGCTCAAGATTCACAACAGTAGAAGGCCAAAAGAAACGACTGCCAGGTCTTTCAATTCGATACTCTCCGGAGCCGCGTAGAAACTATATGAAATTCCTGGGAAACTCTAAACGCGCCATGTTGGCTGAAATAGAACACTTGACGGAGTCCTAGTGTATATAAAGGCATTCAGAAAGCTCCACCAAGTCTCTCCCCCGGTTCTCTCAGGCAACTTTTCAGATGAGGTCAGGGCAACTGTTGTAGCCAGACTTGCCAAAGCCAATAAAGGCCAAGTTGGCTGAAGCAATAGGCAAGCGAGGGCCAAAATGTCTTCCACCAGGATGGCCATCGTCACTCAATCCGTATGGGATATGCATATCTATTGGACATTCGTTGCTGCATTTCTTTTTCAATAATCTTATTTTAGCTGTATAGGCGCAGGTGAACTATGTGAATGTGTCTGTATATTTGCTTATCTGTGTTGATGTGCTTGAACTGATCGCATAGATTGTTTGACATCAAGCAAACATTCAAAAGCTATAGGCAACCACGCAAAAATGATAAAGCCACAGGAGGTACTTGGATTATTGGAGAAACAAAGGATGTTGAGCAAGATCATGTATATAGGTAAAACTTTACGGAAAATTACACCAGCATAGACCCACATAGCTAGGCTAGAGTCCCACGACCTGTTGACATGCGACTGGCTGGAACAAGAATGTACGCAGCTTGCGCAGCCACCTTACGGCACCTCCACGGCGCGCACAATCAGCTGACACCAGCACCGGTGCACTTTGCCAGCTGACAACACCGGCAGCGGCACCAGCACCCGACCAGCGCCGTCGCCCGTCTTAAACGCGCGCTCAGCCAGCTCACAGCACCAGCACCCAGGACCACAACACCAGCACCAGCACCGGCACCCTTTCGAAAGCGCGCGCAGCCAGCTCGTTCTTATTTGCAGTAAGAACCGCGTGGAAGTTTATGCGCGCAAACAGCAAAGCCCGTAAGCGCCATTGGCCCAAGGCCAGGCAGTATCCAGCGCCACTATTTGTAGCATGCTTGAAGCAACAATCTGTAGAACGATAAGGCCATATGATCTTGCGCGTATTAGTTTATGCGCACAAGAGTATGCGCGCAAACGGCAAAGCCCGTAGGCTTCGCTCGCCCAAGGCCAAGCAGTATCCAGCACGACGGTTGTGAATGTGTAGCATGCTGAAACATGCTGAAGCAATGGTCGGTTGAGAGCCTGACGCTGCGACGTTCGCACCCAGCGCCGGTACCCAGCACCCAGCACCAGCACCCAGCACCCTGTCTCCACCAGCACCCAGCACCGGCGCCTCCACCACCCAGCCCAGCACCGGCGCCCTGTCTCCACCACGTGCACAGCCAGCTCACAGCACCAGCACCGGCACCCGGCACACCACGTGCACAGCCAGCTCACAGCACCAGCACCAGCACGGGCACCCGGCACCCAGCACCACCGCCAGCACCACCCTGTCTCCACCACGTGCACAGCACCAGCACCGGCACCCGGCACCAGCACCAGCAACCTGTCTCCACCACGTGCACAGCCAGCTCACAGCACCAGCACCAGTACCGGCACCCAGCACCAGCAACCCGTCTCCACCACATGCACAGCCAGCTCACAGCACCAGCACCAGTACCGGCACCCGGCACCCAGCACCAGCAACCTGTCTCCACCACGTGCACAGCCAGCTCACAGCACCAGCACCAGCACCGGCACCCAGCACCAGCAACCTGTCTCGAAAGCGCGCGCGGGCAACTCATTGTTATTTGAAGTAAGAACCCCATAGCTTCGCTATCTGGGGAAAAACAATGATCAGTTCTGTTCACCAGATTGGTCTTCTAATCTCAAAATCCCTCTGCGAATGTGTCCCTTGGCCAAGCGAGGTGCGGCCGCAGTCCGATCCGACGGAACCGATGCGACGGAAACTGAGGGCACTGGCGACCTTGGCTACCGTGGGCTCTCTGCGATTGAAGATCAAGCGTACTGGCCTTGCTGAGCTGGGATGAAGAGTCAAAGACATGAAGAAGGCACACAACAGACTTTGGTGCTTGAAGAAGTCCCGCAGGTGTCACTGAAATTAGGCTTTTGCGATTCTTGAATTGTGGACAGAGCGGCCCCAAAATGAAAGTTTCACCAATCACTTCCTTGATCAAGTTCACGGGAATGTAAGATTGGTATTGTAACTTAGCATGCATTCTGAATATTTCTGAATTACCTCTGCTGACTGGATGAGAATGGACACGTGCCATGTCCCATACTCCCCCCCCCTTGGTGTCCCCATGGTCTCTTGGATGGAACATGCTTAGCCTTGTCAGGGAGCAACTCCATGCCTGAGCCCCCATACCCTGCCAAGGAAGGTATTGGCGGAGCTAGCTGCGATGCCGGCGAGGGAGCTGACCATTCTGACCAACCTGAAGATTTACAATTGACATTTAGTCCAAACTTCTGTTGTACTAAAAACTTGTCGACGTCAATGCAAATTGGGGCGATGCAAAGCCCCGCCAAAATGTCTAACCCATTGACGTTGCAGCATGCTCAACGATGATTCACATAATCTGCTTCAATCAGCTTCAAACGGTACCATGCACTTACTTGCCTGAGCAACTGGTATTGCGGAACGCATTAGAACTTGAACATTCATTTTGTGCACATCCATGCTTCCCCAAAGCAATCTTGCCCCAATCCTTTGCTCTGACTCGCACACCATCATAACTCATAACTAAGCCAAGTGCGAAGGCCATCGGAAACGCGCACCCGCCACTCGAGCAAGTGGCTAGGACCTCAACAAAGCGGGATAACCATTGATCCCGTGGTATTCCATCAGCGCCTACAATACAACCCTCTGAGTCTGCACGTAGGCCACAGTGGCTACAATGGCCTCTGACTTGAAACAGTATACCGTATACCGCAAGTTCACGTCCTCTATCGGGAGACGAAGTGTCCTCCAGCTGGCAGGAATGATTGGAAGGTCTGAACCCATCTTTCTCCTCTGAGGTCAGCGCGAATCCGGAAGGGCACGTCTCGTGTCTTTGTGCTCCCTAAGAAAGGAGGAATCGGCTCTAAATGTCTGAACAAGTCTGAAGTTCACTCAAACATTCTTGTGAGCGCCTTACAGTCCTGGAGTGTTTCCTTCATTGTTTCTACTCTGTAAAGCATGGCATGACTTTCCAAGCGGGTTTGAGGAACGCCTTCACCACATCTTTACAGAAGAATGTGCACTCTGCCAATCTCAAGCTGAGTTGAAGACCTAAGGAGGACCTGCCAACAGATTGTTTGTTTGGTCACAATAGCCAATAGCTGTTTGAAGATCCTTCTTGCTGTACCCGAAAAATGGAACACAGCCTAACACAGCTTTGTATAATGCAAACATGGAGAGCCACTCGATGACATGTCAAGCAATAGAGCAACGACATGCAACGCTAGCTTTCTTCTTCCTGCTGAAACAATTGCCAAAGCCAAGCTTCTTGACCCTCACACCCGCGGAGAGTGCGACTGGAACATGGAATTGGAAGAACTGAACAATCAATGGCAGTTTGGGACCTAGCCTGGCGGTGTCTGACATAGTGCTCGCTCCCTGAAGTAAACAATTGCTTGCCAAAAAACTCTCAGCCGATGCGTCTACATCTACGATGAACTGGTGCCAGGAGAAGCCCACAAGGATAGAAGAGATTGAAGGTACTGATATGAAGACTTCACAAATCAGCAAGTAAAACCTAACAAAGTCCACACGACTCTTTTGAGAGTTTCCAACCACATTGAATTGAAGGCACTCAGGCTAGGACTGCATTGAGAGACGACGAAAATTGCCTGAGTCACAAACAAAACCAATAGCTTCTTGTTACTACTAGTAAGGCACTTGTTACTACTAGCGATGCACTTGTTACTACTAGCAAGACCCAGCTGAAAAAGAGCTGATGCCTTTCCCAATGTGCAGATTGCTCCGGGATCTTCCTGAAACATCTTGTCTAAAGCCTAGATTTGACCAAAAAGACATCAACAAAACACCAAAACAAACAACCTCCGCCTCGTGTCTTGACTTTCAACACCTGCTGAGGGAGGCACCAGCTTGACTCAGATTCGCCCTCGGATGGGAGCACAGGAGAGCTAACTAGCCGTCTCGGAATCTAGCAAAGCAAGACGCCAGAACTCTGGCTTCCCAGCATTTCTTAGTGACCCATTTTGGACCTTTCCCACAGCGAGTTTGGAACACGACACAAGACTGAAGGCTACTGGATTCACACAGTGTGCCCTCTCCAGTAGGCTAGCCCAGCGCCACACGTAGAGACGCGCTGGATCCCAAAATTCCTCGCGCCACAAGCGTGAACTCCAGGTCGTCATGCTCATCGAAAAAGAACATATGAAGGATGATCCCACACTTGGAGGTATCCAATATCAACACAGGCTGTTTTGCCAGCACTTTGCGACGGTCAAAGCTACGTCACACGGAAAGGGCCCAGGTGCAATCAGGCTTTGTCAGGGCTGCAATATCTCAGCTACAACCTTTGAAAACAATTGCCGAAACAGCCCACCCTTCCAGGCCTCTTGCTTTGTGTGGTAGTGACCTCCACCGCACATGGGACAATCGTTTGCCAATTGACTTGGTTCAAAGCCCACCCCGCAACCTCTCACATCTGCAAACATTATCTTCTGCTCACGGCTATCCCGAAACTATCCAGAGTCTCTGCACCTTCCACTGAGCTTCAATGACACCATCGAATCCGCATGTTGAGTGTCCCGACGCCAAAGGATGTGCTGCCATTCTGTTCCAGATAGCTTTCGCTCAAAGTCTGCCAATTGAGATGCTTCCCTGCACAAAGCGAGCAATTGTTAGGACCGGATACCTTTTGGCCATTTGAATGCCATTGAGAGCCTCCCACAACAGGTCTTTTCAGTTTGCGAATCTTTGGAGTACAGTATTTCTTCCCCACTTCCGGTTGTCCATCGTTGTTCACTGTCCACTCCGGCCGAAGATGTGACCGGAATCGAGGCCACGACCCCTGCAACAGGAGATCTTCATGGTCAACCTCCGCCTGGCAACAGCCGCCGAGTGGCGCTTGTGATCTTCATCACACGCCCTTGATCTATGAGTTCGATCCGCCAACCTTTCGTATTTATTGCGCGAGCCATAAGAACACAAGGCTAACTGGCAATACTCCGAATTAACCTCTTCTTGATCTTCTTGATATAACTATTGTTTAATTGGTTGTTTGCGAGTTATGTTTACTTGTCTGATTCACGTTACATATTGAATTCTGAATATTGTTTGAGTTCTCCACACAAACCACGAGTCCTATCCGATCATCCGATCACCATCTCACCTCGATATGGCGCTTGATGTTGTCGAAGACGGGCGGCC